CTTGGCTGACTTGGCCTCTTAGCTTTCCATTATCTACGAGCCACTGCTTCTTGCTGAATGTTTGCCCTTCGTTCCCCTGAGAACTTCTAGCCCTGGTCTGCTGGCTGTGTCCTGGGCCACCTCCCCTGGGTGACCAGTTCGGACGCCCAACCTCTGCTCCTACAGGCTTTGGGTGGAACGTCACAGCAGCCTCCTGGGAAGCTTGTGTCCTGCCTCTCATCCCATCACCATGGGGACCAACTCCTGCGGCCTTGAGAAGCAAAGGCAGCCTGGATCCTTGGCCACAGAGGAAAGTTTGGAGTCAGGGGAGCTTGGCCAGAGTTTCACCCAGGCAGTGAGCCCCTGCCTGGGACTTGTTACCCTTCTCAGGGCAGCAATTTAAACCGAAGCACAGCAGAATCACGGGAGGAAGACATCCCCGTGGCAACAAGCCTGTTGGACTTGGGCATGAAGGACAGGGTCCCAGTCTCCTCTCCAAGCCCGCTTAGTGCAGAGCTCTGGGACCAACAGCATATTTGCTTGTTCCAGGCTGCACATTTTCTCCTCAAACACTTTCTCAATATCTGGTCCCCATACTTTGCTCAGAAAGGGGTAGGCACAGACCCTCTCCATGTGACCTGGTGCCACACCTCATCCCACATGCAAAAGTTTATACTCCATTTATAATTATTATAAAATATTGGCTATGTTCCCCGTGTTGTACATACACCCTTGTAGCTTATTTTATACCTGATGGTTTGTACCTCTTAATCCCCACCTCCATCTCGCCCTTCCCCTTTCTCTCTCCCCACTGGTAACCACTAGTTTCTTTTCTACATCTGGGAGTCTGTTTCTTTTCTGTTATATTCACTAGTTTGTTGTATTTTTTTAGATTACACATGTAAGTGATATTTTATAGTATGTGTCTTTTTCTGTCTGACTTATTTCATTTAGCATAATGCCCTCCGTGCCCATCCATGCTGTACACCAGAAAATAATACAACATTTTAAATCAACTATACTTCAATTAAAAA